TGTAAATAAGATTTGGATTTTACAAATTTCCTTAATTTCTGTTCATCTGAACCTGTTTAGTTTCACAATTATATCGGACATATACTTTTTCTGGATCTATGATTCTTGGTTGGTAATTCTTACCTTTTATCCTTTTATATGTCTTTCTCGTATCTTCTTTGCTTCATGTTTTCTATTTAGAAGTCAACTCTTAGTTTTACTGGTTCCTTGCGAGGTGTTATTTCATTGTTCATGAGTTGCTCTCAGAATTGTTTCTTTGTTCTTGATTTTCGAAAGTTTTCAGTTATTCACTAATCACAGACACACTTTAATATATTGATATGAAAGTAAATATGACAGTTAAATGGAAAGCAATTCATTATGTATTTCTACTAGGATTTCAATACATACATCCACCAGCTTATTCCAAAGAAATATGCTAAAGCATGTCTGTGATTAGGGGATGACTGCAAACCGATTCTTTCAGTAATTTAATTATCTTAGTATCATTTCTGTGGTGTCTTAAAAAAAGGCAATCAAAAGAATAAGAATGTCATCTGATCGTATCTTCTACACCAGTTAAATTAAAGGCAGCAAGATTAGCCTAGAAGGTATTTACTATTTTATAGGTTTCCAAGATCCAAAGGGGTAATCTTGAGAGATTTTCACAGAGGCCCAAGCTTACCTCAGCAGCTACCTATGAAGAAGTTTTAAGAAAAGTGAAAATTAGCTGGGTTTTGTTGATTGAGTATAATTACCTCTCACTAGTGCGTATGTTGGTTCTCATCATAGATGAGTCCTCTGTGGTAAGACTTGTATATTTTCCCTTACCAGATTGAATGGCAATAGAGAAGCAAGTTATTTCTCTGATATTGAATCACATATGTAGGGTGTTAAGGTTACTTCCAATGCAAATATGGGACTGTTAGGCCCTTCGAAGTTGGTGTTAGCAGTTAGTGCATTGTCTAGGGATAAGGGAAGAACATCTTTGTATCTACAGTGGGAGAGGGTAATGCAAATGGACAGGCCCACTGTGCAGGCATCAATTTGTATCAGTGGATAGTTAGGTATCAATGTTTTTAAGTGAAAATGCAGATGTATTCATGGGATTGGGGGCATGTCAGATGTATCTAGGGGGACAATGAATAATATATTGCCTTCTCTTGTTCAATATTTAACAGAGATCCAGATGCTGCCTGTCAGGATATGACTGGAAGAGTTAGTGAGCAAATGTGTCTATCTGGCATGAACCTAGCATGTAAGTACTGGGAGCAAGCTTGTTGATTGTTGAAGTAGGCACTCTGTGTGCTCGCTGCCAGTTGCCTGGTGGGCAGGGTCTACATCTCAGGGATGTGATAAGTGTCGTGGAGCTTGAGCCTATAGTTGCAAGCAGTCTCACCTCCATAAAGAATGGTGGGCAGGCCAGGCTTAACCATATAATCGCAAGATGCCTGTGTTTCAGGGAAGGGGATGGTGGGCATACTCAAGCTTATACATGTGTTGCTTGCAGGAAGTGGTTAACTAGGCTTATGTCCCTCAGTGAGGGACATCTCTTCTTCTTAGAGGGGGGGTGATTGTGACTAGGCTTGCACTCATCAGGTGGGGCTCTTTATTCTCAGAAAGGTAGTGGACATGATTGGACTTGTGAAAATAAGGGGAAGCAAGTATAAGCAGCCTACATTTCCAGGTTATCCAGGAAGGGGTGGTGAATGGGAAGATTCTTGTGAGCATACATGAGAGCCACTGCCCCTTAGGGAGAAGCCTGCAGGTATAAATATGCGGTATTACTATGTTCAATCTGAGTGACATATTGTTATCCTATGTAGTACAGGTTCTACACGAGCACAGTTAAGTGTGCTGGTGCTCTTATTCTTTGCAATGCTTTCCATGTATTGTTATGATCCACTCAGTCAAATGCCTATGCATTGTCAATAGGTAAACATATTTCTAATAATATTCTCTGATCCATCTGACATCAGCAATGATATATCTCATTCTACATTTTCTGAATCCAGCTTGAATTTCTAGTAGCTGCCTGTCAATAGACTGCTGCAGCAGTTTTCCAGTTATCTCCAGGTGCATTTAACCTGAATCCAATATTAATGATATTGCTTGATACTTTGAAAATTCTGTTGGGTCACCTCTCTTGGGAATGAGCACGAATGTGGATTTCTTCCAATTGGCTGGCCAGGAGGCTCTCTTCCAAATTTCTTGAGAGTAAATTATTCCAGTGCTACATCAGTTGGCTGAAACATACAATCGGTATTTCATCAATTTCTATAAAGTCTTATTTTTTGCTGATGCCTTCAGTGCAGCTTTGACTTCTTTCTTCAGTATCATTGGCTTTTAATCATATGCTACCTCTTGAAATGGTTGGATGTTGATCACTTCTTTTTGTGATAATAATGGTGTGGATTCTTTTCATCCTCTTCTGATTCTTCCTGCATCATTCCATATTTTGGAATATTTCAATATTGAATTTTTCCTTTAGTTCCTTCAGCCTGAGAAACACGGAGCATGTTCTCACTTTTTGAATTTCTCCTTGCAAGTCATTGCCCGGTTCCTCATAGCGCATGGCTTTGTTTTCTCGTGTTAGAATGTTCTGTTCAGTTCTTTCACTTCACCATTCCTTCCTTCTATTCTGTTTTTAAGACCAACTGTCAGAATCTCTTCTGACAGCTACTTTGATGCTTTCTTTGTTTCTTGTTTTTTTTAATGACCCTTTGTTTTCTTCATGTAGTGTGGGGGAAAGGAGAGTCCCCAACAAATCATCACTGGTCCGGTAGGCGCAATTATACAGTGATAATAAGTAAAGATTATAGTGAAGTCATAGAGCACATGAGAGATAGAAGAGAGATTGAAGTAATGGAGTCAGACATGATTCATGGTAGCATGCTCACCTCAGCCCCACTTGGTGCTCCTCATGGGGAGAACCCGGGAGCGAGAGCAGGAGAGAGCAACTTTATTGCTAACCAAGGGTTATAACTACTTAGGGGGGCATGACTACAGGTAACCATATGTCACAGTAAGAGGCAGTACAATAGGCATACACATCATAGGAAGGGAATGTATGATAAGCATAAGCATGACAGGAAGGGGATGAGTTAGGGGTGTGCCCATAATGGGGGGTGGGGGTGGGAATAGAGGTATACATGTGACAAGATGGGTGGACCCTAGATTCATGATGGTGTCCTAACCTTGGTCACCCTTGGGTGGGCTTGACCTCTCAGGGTTCTCCTGCAAGGAAACAGTCAACTACTATCCTTATCAGAAAGTAGTGGGCCTTACTTGTTGTGGGATAAACAGTGGTGTCTGATTGCTCTGGATGGCTAATAACCCTTAGGGAGAACAACCCCTGGCCTACTTCTGCTGACCTCCAAGTGTATAGTCATTCGCCACATGTAGCAAGCAGCTGTTTGGCATATATTTGGGGGAGAAAACTTGGGAGAAATCCTTTTGTTTCCCACAATGTAGGATATTCTTGATGTTATCGCCATAATTCATATGAGCTTCAGTCATTCATGTCCAATGTATCAAATTTACTCTTGAGATGGTCTGTAAATTCAGGTAGGACATAGTCCAGGTTGTATTTTAGCTTTTGTGAACATGATTTAATTTTCTTCAGCTTCAACTCGAATCTGCATATGAACAATTGGTAGTCTCTTCCACAGACATCCCCTGGTCTTGTTTTGGCTGATGATATTGAGATTCCCTATTGTTTCTTCCTGCAATTGTAGACAACGTGATTTCTCTGTATTCAGTATTTAAATGTATCATTGTCATTTATGTTGCTGAAAAATGATATTTGCAACAAAGAAGTAGCTGGTTATGAAAAATTCTATCATGGTATCTCTAGCTGCCTTTCTCTTGTCAAGGCCACATATTCCAACTTGTTCCCACTCCTCAACCCCCAACTTTCGCATTCTACATTCCAATCACAAGGAATTCTAATACACCTTGACTTCATATTTGATCATTTTCTGACTGATGAAGTTGATGAGACTTCCATTTTCTCATCATTGGCTGGAGTGGTAGGGGCATACTTTTGAATAACATAGTTGTATTGACTGGCCTTCTTTGAAGACATATGTATATTATCCTATGGCAGACAGTATTGTGATTTTGACATGTTCTTTCTGATAGTGAACGTGATGTCAATTCTCTTGAATTTCTCATTCCCAGCATAGTAAACCGTGTGACTCTGCAATTCAAAGTGGCAATATCAGTCCACTTCAGCTCACTCACTCACTCATTTGTTCACCACCACCCAGTCAATGCTAATTCATAGGGAGCCTATAGGGCAGGGTAGAAGTGCCCCTGTGAGTTTACCGAGACTACTCTTTAAGGGAGTAGAAAGCCCCGTCTTTTTCCCCACAAGAAGCTGGTAGTTTTGAACTGCAGACCATGAAGCTTGCAGCTCAATTTGTAACCACTGCACCCCCAGGGTTCCATTTTAAGCTCATTATGCCTACTATATCAATATTTATATGTTCTGGTTTATTTTTTATGACTTCTTATTTTCCTATGTTCATCCTTGGTTTATGCCACCTTCCAATTATGAATGGATATTGAAAGCAATTTCTTCTTATTTTGAGACATTCCCCATTAGCAAAGCCCTGGAAGCTTTGCTCCACGCATGTCAATGTGGTGGATTCTATTTTTTTAAATAAAGTAATAACATTCTTTTTCTTAATTTTAATATTAATTTTCCACATTTTAATATTATGTTGTTTCCAATCACCAAAAGAGGGGAAAAATCCCTCTGAGACTCACAAGTGTTTAATTCAAACCTCTATTTGTAGTTTCTAAAATGTTGAGCCACAGCCCACTGCCTTCTTTGCATATGTACCACTGAACGCAAAAGGAAACTTGCCCTGCCATCCCTATGGAAGAAATGGTTCCTTTTCTAACAATCGTTAAAATGCACGTTTTACAATCCTTACACCTCAACAAAGGTGACGCTGTAATAAACACACTTCTTCTTTTAACTCCTTCCTCACTATTCAATGAATGTCCACAAACTACCTGTGGTAAGCTCTTTCTTTTTTGAATTTCTCTAGGGCTTTGCCCATTGTTTTCTCATTTTCTTCTCTACGTCTGGGACAGTCCCACTTGCCCTTTGGTTTATGATTCATTTCCACGGATGAGAAATGAAACCACTCCAGGAAACACTCATCATTGTCACAGTCGATCATCTCTCCATAGGAGACCTGATTCCCCAGACGGCACGTTGGCTCCTTTGGGTCGATGGGAAGGTCTGCAGGAGAGGCTTCCCACTTGGCTTTGGCTTTAGAGAGTTTCCTCTTCTTCAACATTTTTGCTTCTTCTCCTTCAGTGTTGCAGAAGGAATGTCATTGTCATTGCGACAATTGGATGCATTCTCTCGATTCTCATTGTTGCTCTGTGGTCGGGAACTCTTATCCTTGGGCTTTCCTTCTTGAGTGATTGTCTGGTTCTTTGATTCGTCTCGGCTGGTTTTGCCACGGTTGCCCGTGGTGTCATTGATCTCTTGCCGAGCCTCACATAGTTCTACGTGACTGCCCACTTGTCTGCTCTGGTTCTCAGCCTGCTCTGCCATCTGACTCACAACCTGAATCTTGCCGTCACCCAGTTCTTGGCTCTGAATCAAGGCTCTCTGAGTGCAATGTAGAGCTCTCCTCTTCTGGGTACCATGGGTCTCGCGTTTAAATCTCGCATAACATCCACCTAATTCTTTTGGGATTTGTTTGCTGAAGGTACCAGAGGCTGACAACCACACAGCCACCAGGGGGGGCACGCTCCAGGCATCACTCAGCGGAGGCGGTCCTAACCTCCTGCCTGCTGAGCCCTCAGTCAGGAGAAATGCAGGACCGAAGGACTTGTGGGCACATTCCTGTGGGCCAGAGACCCGAATAGTGCCGGCTCACTCCCTCTGGGACAGTGGCTCCAGTCGCTCCAGCAAGCTTGCCCGCCACTGGTTCCTCTAGCTCTGAGGTGGACTCTATTTTTGCATGCATCTCTTCCCCAGTCGTCTTTTGAGTGCCTCCCATTGCATTAGGCTGGCTTCTCTAGAGGATCAAAAACAGTGATACTTATGTAGGTATATAAAGAGAGAAGTTCATTGTCTTAGGTGGCATTGACTATAGAAACAAATCCAGTGACACACATAAAAGGGTAAGAAAGAACTTTGTATCAAGAAGCTTTATATACCAGGAAGACATGCTAGTCCTGTCCAACTCAACTCCATAAGTCCGACCCCAGCCCCTAAGTCCCTCTTCAGACTCATATAACCACATGCAATGATGCAGAATGCAGGCATCACAGCCCAGTGGGTGCAAGACAGTTGTGGATCCAATGGCGCAGGTCATCACAGAGAGGCTCGCTGGCATGAAGGTGAAGGCAGAGAGAGAGGGGCCAGCCTCCAGAGAGCCATTTCCCTTGGTCACACCTCCATAGGAGATCATCAAACTGTGCCTGACTGACAGGCTAAACTCCACCCATATCTTCTTACAGGTGCCATGTTGGCACGCATACACACACACACACAAACACAATCACATTTATTTTAAGGAAAATGGCTCATACAATTTTAGGAGTGGAAAGTACCGTCCAGTTCAAGTCTGTGAGTCAGATGGAAGTGGCCAGTGTACCAGGAAGCAGGAAGAAAAAGCAGTGAATCACAAGCTAGTGGATGTCAGTAGATCTTGCCTGTGGCTGACAGAGTGGAACAAATTCAAACTTGACAGCCTCTAATGGCTACTAATTTGACAGCGATATAGCAGGCCATTTATAGTTTCTAGGGTCAGCAGACTGTTGGCCCCAAAACTGGAGACCAATGTGACAGATGTAGAACCCAGACTAGCAAGAAACATGAAGCTCTCTAGAGTGCCTACTTCAATATCACGTAGCCCACATCTTCATAAAGATATCAGCAGGGTTATGGCCTGGGTAAGGACTTGGCTTCCAGCATCTCTTATCATGGGGTTGATTACATTCTGTCAGATCACATGATCTGGGGGATTCAGTTCCTAACCACGGAGCAAACTGGCCTAGCCAGAGCATCCCTATTTTCCATTACATCAGGCTATGTTCTGTTGCTATTTGTAATGTTTTTGGAGGCTAAATTTTCAGAAGTGAACCTCTTCTTCCTTCTTCCTAGTCTTTTATAAGTCTGGAAACACGAATGAAAGCTGCTTCCCATGGGTCACATTGTTGGTATTTGGATTATCTGTGGCATAGCTTCCAGCATCACAATGATATGCAATCTAGTTTAGTTTGACAAGGAACAGGTAAGTGTGGTTTTTTTACCTTTGTAAACCCATGTTTTTTGTTTGTTTCACAATATTATTTTATAGGCTTGGATATTTAGTCTTACAAGAAAATTTTAGAATCATTTTTCTTGAATGGGAAAAAAGTGTAGTGATAGAATGATGTTATATTTACATGTTGACTTCAGAATCAATGCTATCTTTCCGACATACTCAAAGGTACATTCCTAAGGTTTTGTTGATGTTTTCTCAATGCTCCAGAGGTATAAAAATCTCTGTCACTGAAGCTTTGGTTTGAGAGGATTGCTCTTAAGAGCACCTATTAAGTTGTCTTCAAAATCATTTGTAAGCAGAACAAAACACATCTGACTATAAAAGATAGAGAAACACTCTCACTGTCACTAAATGGATTTCTGTCATTGTCAGTAGATCTTCCATGCAGCATTTGATGGGTTCAAACTGTTGGCTTTGTGGTCAGCAGCTTAATGCATAGCCCATTACTAAATATATATGTATCATTGAATGCATTATTTCAAATTGTTATAATACGACTTCTTTTAAAATTACATTTAAATATAAACATCAACATATGGCAGAGTGTGACATTCATAGAAAAGAATGAGTAAATTAAGTCTTAATAATGAATCAAGTCCTGCTTCATTTTAATCTAATTCAATTCATTAAATACCTCTTGAGTGTCATTTAAATATAATAGAATTGTCATAACAGTTTATAGAAAGTTCATTCCATAGAATATTACAGAAAGCAAAGGTAAATGTATTATAAATGGAGGGTTCAAATTATATGCAAAATTTTAAATATGTGTATAAAATGAGTCATTTAATAATTATAATATACCAAATATAATAATTGTTGACTTTGACTCATATAACCCCAAAATGTAATATCTTGTCATTCAATTTCCCTTTAGACCCACTTTGAAGATGTTTCAGTAATACATTGAACCCTCGTTTATCGCGGTTAATCGGTTCTAGACCCTACCATGATAAATGAAATTCCGCAAAGTAGGATTCCTTATTTGTAAATCAAATATTTTCGTAGTTAGAGCATAGAGGACATGAAAAAACACCCTTTAGTCACCATTACACTC